AGTTGTCTGAGAAGGAGCCTTACCTGAAGTAGCATCTTGATTACTTTGATTGACATGAGAAGACTCACACTGGATATGGACAGTACCTTCTGAAACCAGCATGGATAAAAAAAAAAAAATGTGGCAGATGGAAGTTCATCTTACCATTTGCTCTCTTAGCCTCCATATTACTGGAATTAGTCTGCCCTGTTGTTGCTTCTTTCACTGATGGCAGGACCATTGTTTCCCAGCTGCTGTCCTGAACTAGGACCTTGGAATTTTCTAGGCTTCCAGTGCCAGATTGTGACTAGGAGGCACCCCGTCTCAGAGAATGAGCAACTACTAGCTTATCTGTTGATCAACTTATCTGCCTTTTTCCTAGGGAAAGGACAGCCATTGTGAGACTGTTCTAAAAGCTGAGACACTCAGCCTCAGATACCAGGTTCTCAGATCACTGAAGCAATTCTTTTTGTGTTACTATTTTAAAAACCTACCTCTGTGTGTGTGTGTGTGTGTGTGCATGTGTGTAGGAAGGATACACACATACATATACATATGTATATATATATATATATATATCCATCCCATTAGTTTTGTTCCATTAGAGAAGCCTAATATACCCTATATCCTGCTATTTATGAAATAAAATCCATTTTGTAGAATTCTTATGAGAGCCAATACATTCATTTCTTTAATGAGAAAGTTTATCACATTTTGCCACTTTTCATTTAAGGTTTTCAGGGGAATTTTGTTTTTGTTTGTTTTTCTAAACACTGTTTCTATGCACAGCCTTGGCTGCAGGGGATTTTTGTTTTTGTTTGTTTTTCTAAACACCGTTTCTATGCACGGCCCTGGTAGTCCTGGAACTAGCTCCACAGACCAAGTTGGCCTCGAATTCACAAAGATCCTTCTGCCTCTGTCTTCATCATTTCAATTTTTTGTTTGTTCTTTAAAACAAAGCCTCCTACTATATGTCCTAAGCTCGCCTCAAATTTGCAATCTTCCTGCTCCAACCTCCCAAATGCTGAAACGATGTGGTGGTACCAGCATTCTCATCCCTCTTAACTGCTTTTACAAACATATTGGTGGCAATTATTCGAGGAAGAACATACGGGATTACCAAGCTCATTCTATTTGACAGGAACCTTTAAAAATTGGTTATTGTATATTCAGGTAAAATTTCCTGGGTAGTAGTTTTCATTTATGAAGTGGCATTATATTAAATAACATCGCTGAAATTTAAATTTTAATAATTAGTAAAATACAAGTGAAATTGTTCTTGTAAGTTTCAGCATCAATATGACTTAAATTTTACTGGCATATTAGGCCTCCCCTAAGGATAAACTGATAGAAACCAACAGAAAGACTCTCTTCCTAGTTTTGTATAAAGGCAGATATAAAATATAAGACCCATAGACATAGTGTCAATACCAATTCACTCTTCTGTTATTGTTGAAGAGCAGGGTCAAATTTTTATATCTTCTGTTAGGACTACAGTATGTTCTTCCTGTGTACGTAACTTCCAGGGTGACTGTGTTTAGAACTATGGCCTTTACAGAGGAATTTATGCCTAAAGACTTGATAAAAGCAGAGTCCGAGTTCGGTAGGGTTGGTGCTTTAGGAGGGGAATATCATATGATCCTCAGAGGTCAGACTGGCTTAGTGGCCATCTGCAAGCCAGGCAGAGAGGTCTCCTGAAAATCCAACCGTGCGGGCACTTCAGTCTTCGACTTCTAATCTCAATAAGATTCTGACAGTGCAAGAGCGGTAACGTGTTTTACTTTTCTCCTTTTCACTTATGTTTTGTGTTTGAGTATTCATAGTTAAGAGAGCAAATAAAAGGGGAGCTTGAAAGAGCGAGCTTTTCTTTCATTTTTAGGTGGGAAATAAGGGTATCCTATCTGCTATACTGTGATTTGAACACATCAAAAACTTCTTTAAAAGGGATTCTTTTTTAGCTGGGCATAGTGTAAAATACCTTTAATCCTAGCACCCGGGAAGCTGAGACAGAAAGATTACTATATTGAGGTTAGACTGGACTGTTGAGTGAGTCTTATCTCAAAAGGACATTAAGTGGATTATTATGTTTTCTTACTTAAGGGTTTGGGATATTGGTTAACATTGTCAATCTGAGAGAAACTAGAATCACTGGGGAGACAAACTTTTGGGAATGTCTGAAGGAGAGTTTATAGAGTGCATTCGATGAGACAGGAAGACCAACCATAACTGTGGGAGACACCTACAGAAGTTTCAGGGTTCCCAGAGTGAGTAGAAAGAAGGAAAGTAAGGTCAGCACCAGTATGCACCTCTCTCTGCTTCCTAACTATGAACAAAGCATGGGCAGCTTTCTCATGTTCCTAACTCCAGAATTCACATGCCATTATGGTTTATGACACCCTCAAACTGTGAGCCAAAGCAAACTCTTCTTCCTATAAGGTGCTCCTGTCAGAGCAATGAGGAAATTAATTAACAGGTAATCCAACTAGGTGGCATAGCATTTACATTACTGTACAAAGCTCCACATTGCTTTAAGCTAAAAAAAAATGTCTGATTTTAAAATTTCAAAATATTCATTAAGGATCTATTGGGCTTCTTAGCAAATAATGATAAAATTTATTCAACTGGTTACTTTCTGTGACTGGAAATCCATGTTCTTTTGATGCACAAATTGAATTCCTGTGGGTGTTAGCGTGGTTCTCAGAAATAGAGGGAGGGATCATTGTGGAAGAAGAGGTCTAAAGAGTGTAAGAGTTAGCAATGTCAATGACTATGAGGAAGCAATGTCTCCTGGATATAGGAGGACAGCTGCACTTAAGTCACGGTGGTTGTGACAGCATGCACAAGACTGGTTCACACTCAGGTCAGACCTAATCATGGCATGATAAGGAGGGACTGGGTGAGAAGTCACGCCCCTAGCTAAGGAACTACTAGTGATTGATAGCAGCTGGAAGACAGAGATTCAATTTCTCCTGGTAAGTTGACGATACTCCAGTGGTTACATCCAAGAATATATAGGTGACACTAATTGGTCTTGATATATTTTTTAAGACACAAAGTTGGGGTTTGTACAGAAGCAGGGTTAGATCTTGGAAGGGTTGGGAGAAGGATGGTAAATATGATCCAAACACATCGTATGAAATTATCAAAGGACTAATAGAATACTAAAAATTAATATTAGAAAAATAAATGTGGCTATGATAAGAGAGAGTTTCATTTAGATGATAGTTTATAAGAGAACATTTAATTATTTTGCTGGAGACTAATGAATCATGCTATAAACCATATGGAGTTTTATGAAAATATTGTGCATAGAAAACTGAATATTTGTGTTCTATTACACTTGTCAGCATTCCAAGGAAGCGAGAATTCAAAGTTATTCAAAAAATAATTCAAAATATATTAATAGGAAACAGTCATTTTACTACACAATTCACAGTGGGGGCTTTAAAATTGCCCTGCAACATTCCAGGAATTCACATATTTTTCTCCGAAGTGTACTAATCAGGGTGTGCATATTTAAAGGAGGCATAAAATAAGAATAACTTCAGTATTCTAAGGAAGGGTGAAGAGGACCCAGCTTAAGTCCTAGCTCGAGTATTGCAGTGATCCTCTTGCACATGTCCTGTGCTGTCGAGCTAGCTGTTGTTCTAGGGAACTGAACTTGAGATTCAGTTCCTAACTGTAACTCACTTCCAGACAGGACAGCAGGAGAAGACCAAATAATAGGCTGCAAGTCCTTACTTATAAGGCACTTGAATGGGAACAAGTAGATGATCCTGTGTGCCTATAAAGCAGAATTTTCTACTGTAGCACAGAAGACAGCATTTCATGACTAGAGATGGATGCAGGGAGATTCTTGGTTCCTCTGAGGTTATAGAAGGATGTGTAGCATCCATGCTAGGCCTCTTTTCTCTTACTGAACCCATGTCCATACTGGTTGAACTTCAAATCTGCTGGTACAAATCCTGGAAAGAATTATAGTGACTTTTCCTGTCTAGTTGGATCTGGTGAAGTTCCTGCTGTGAGAGTCATTGGGGAGACTTACTGAACAGAACAAGCTAACTACTTATCCATTGCTGATTTAAATCTCTGGTTCCATTTACAAGACATTGATAGTGTTATTAAAGACCATACATATTGTGTTAGGGGAATGTTGTCTGCTTTTATTAACAACTGGGAGGATCATTTGAAGCTATAGACAAAACACAATTGTCATAAAATTAGGTAGAACTTCTCTAATTTACGGAGAGCTATTCCTGCTCTGGTATGATGTGTCTTGTTTTGATGGCCATAACTAGTGCTCCTGTGGAAAGTACACTCTGGAACTTGAGAAAAAGAAAACACTTTAAGTGCAAGGAGGCATCAAAGCAGCCAATGATACCAGAAAATGTGAACACTGAGTCAGTTACTGAAATAAAGTTAGACTATTAGCAGGTAGCTTTCCCCAAGGTGCAAGTAAGTAACTCTCATTAGTGATAATGGAAGTCTTGAGAGCACTTCCAGGAAGACGATGTGTCTGAGTAATAGACTTGAGGGAGAGAAAGCAGGCAACGTGTGCAGTAGTTATGTTGGTGGAAACATAAACAAAGATGACTCAATAGCATACTTTTGGAATCTGACCTACTCTATAGATTTTTATCTCAATTATAAGGCTCATTCTGCAAAGTGGAATTGCTAATTGCAAATATCCTCTCTCTTCTTCTACTTCCAAACCCTCTGTATGAAATATCTGTAATATTAGCATGCATAGAATATTTGACTAGTGTGGAAACATTTCACAGAGTCATGAGGATTTGGAAACTGGTTGGCATATGTTTGAATTTGCCCTATTTTCTTTTATTAGCAGTTAACATTAGATTCAAGTTCATGAAACACTGATACTTATAGCAGTTACCCCAATGGCTCTTTGAGTATTAGGTATGAAAATGCATCTGAAGTACCCTGTACACAGCAAGCATACTTGAATGTTCATTATCACAGTTAGTGATGGGAGAAGGAAGTTTTAACTTAAGTCAACTAAATGTTTTGAGACAGACCAGAAGTTTATTGACGATTGAGTTGAGTTCTCAGTACAAAACATAGCAAATGCATTTTTTCACAACATTGTAGGCATTTCAGAATAAGATTCCAAAGATTAACATTGTATCTTTCCTTTTGATGATGTGCAGAGCATGCTGACACAGCCCAGATAAGCATCAGAACCCTTTAAGATGGTGCCTCCCAGTGTTTGCTTATATGGTTCCCTTGCTTGACAAAAAAACACTCTTTCTAGTCAACAAAGCATCGAAACAAGTCATTTGTCACTTTTCATCATACATGATAAAAGTTGGGATAAATTGATGCCTTTGAACAGGGCATTTGGAATCTGTTTTTATCCAAAGAGAAAGATAGAGATGTCTTTGTTAATTTGGGAAGTTCAGGTTAATATTACACACTTCAGCATCCATGCTTAGTTTTGGAAGATAGAGATGCCTTGAAAACTGAATTCCTACAATTTGCCTGCCTGCACACCTGGGACCAGGGTTATTCTGTATGAAGCCAAAATTGGCCACAACAGTGCTGTCTGGCACAAGAAAATAGTCACACACACACACACACACACACACACACACACACACACACACTCTATAGCTCAGCCAATTAAGTCACGTACCCAAATCCATTTTTTTCCTAGATGTTTGCACAGAATTACTAGTCAGTTAGTACTGTAGACTACGTCAATCACTGGCTAATTCTCTTTTCTTTTCCTTCATGACCAGATTTGATCATATCTTGGTGGCATGCAGACACAGACCTACTGACATAACCTACTACCAGTGACAATACCAATTTTTTGCTACCATTTTCAGAACTTTTTCAACGAATGTTCTGGGCTCAGGTTTCATTCTATGAAGCCCAGACTCTTGCTTTATTAGTCTGACATTTTGTTCTGACCTCTGTCAACAGATACGACCTCTGGTTTAGCTGCTTCTCTTACTTGCAACTAGTACTCTTCTGCTGTGCTAAGACAAATTCACTGATTTATGATCTGGGCACACTTGCCCTGCTCGTCCATCTAACATAAAAATATTGTCTTATTCTCTAACATCTCTCTTTTTGCCCAAAACATATATATGGCTCCTGGCATTTCTATTTTTCTTTATGTCCTAATATGATTAGAGATTTAATATGTCTGCATAAAAATGGCAAAGAATAGCTGTTATGTTTAGAAGGATTGCTACGAACCATTCCTTCAACTTTAAAGGTCATTATGATTTTACAGAACATCACACATGTAATTTGGTCCCCACAACAACCCTGTGAGGTAGGAAGGGACATCATTTGGCAGAGCAAAAAATGGAAAAACTGAGATACACATAGGCATACAATTAGAATTGTGCTTCTATCTTAATGCTGTGGAACTTAGGGTTTAGTGTTAAAACATGAAGAAAAAAAAAGAAAACCCTGGGAAATATTCTTTGTTGGCTCACAAAGAGGAATCAACATGAAAGCTTCATGGGATCTTATGTCTTTATTATTTTTGTATTTTCTTTTCTTTCCTTCTCCTGTTTTCATTTTTTCTATAAAATATCTCATGTCTATTGTAATATTTATTTTCTAGTATATACACTTCAAACATAAAATTCAAGTAAATATAAAGAGCTTTCTAGAATAAAACTTTGATTTTCTTTTCATGATCAAATATTTTTGTTTGAAATGAATAGGCAATTCATGAAGTTAGGTTTGGTTCTCATTCAAACATATTGAAGAAATTATCAAATTATGCTTTATCTCTCTCTACTCTCTCATATATATATATATATATGATTTGAATTGGATAATAAGAAGGTAGCATTGTGAAATAGGCAATAAAAATAAGGTTATTTCTAATATAAAAGACACGAGTATCTCTCTCCTTTCAATGTCTACTTCACCCTATTATTTTCCTAGGTTAGTCATCTGTGGTTTGTTTATAACTGGTATATTTATATCTATACATTTAGAAAAACATATTTATTGTTATTTCTGACTTCACAACATACACATTGAACTTATGCTAAATGAACAAGTGAAAGAATGGATGGATAGATTTTCTTTTATTCTATCCCTATTGCTATTTGGGAACAATATCTTGATATTAAAGAACCCATATTTAATCAATATCCATGAAGTTTCTCCCAGAGCCCAATGGGTTAAATTGGATTCCACAAGATTAGGTGAGTGAGCAGCGGGAGGGCTGAAGGAGGCAGGAACATCCCAGTAGACAGCATATGAGTGCATCTAAGTGAAGGGTGTCAAGGGATGGTGGTTATTACAGCAGAGGGCATGATGGTATACATATGGAATTGGGAGCCTGCGCAGCACCCAGAGTCAGGAGAAGAGGTCGTGAAGAGACCAGGCAATGACATGACACAGGCGCCAAAGTCATTTGAAGGAGCTGCAGAAAGATCCCGGAAGTCAGTTGTTCTGATGGCTTGTCCAGAGGTGAAAGGCCTTTTAAGGAGATGACAGCGGAGCATTCTGCTCAGCCCACCTGATCTTAAAGGGGTCCTGCCCCAATGTAATCAGGTGCATAGGTAAAAAAGGAAATCAGGATTATTTTCTTATATTTCAAAAATACCTGAATTATTAAAATATACATTGAATTAATTCAATATAATTTCTAAGATCATGATTAAAATGTGGAGATCTGAGTAATTTCATTCAGAATAATCTATAGAATCATTGTGGAGGCATTTGCAAGACCTCTTTGTAAAATGCATATAACCTTGAACTATTGATTATACTTCTAGTAAATACTATATTTCACAACATTCTCACAAAACATCATAGGAAATGGTGAATTGAACATTGATTATTAAAGCCAAACCAAAGCAAGCAAAAAATTGTTGCCTATTTAAGAGTAAGGAAATAAATGACTACATTGTGGTAATTGTGATATCTCTGTAATTTTTTGTAGTATTTTGAAAAAAAAATCTAGTCACTGAGAGAAAAGAGGCCAAAGCACTTGTGATTGCATATTAAACACAGAAAACCAGGACCTTTTACGATAGATGCATATGAATATTATTGTTTCTTCTTTTGGAGGGTTGTGGAATTGCTTTCCATTCTCTCTGGGGGGACATGTAGAAGAATCAAGAGGCTGTTCACACTCAATCCCCCCTCAAAGAGCTCTTAATGCTTTCTCAGAGAAAGTACTCAAACTCCCAAATAGTCATCCACATTTGTAATGCAAATTTCTAGACACGGCTGAAAAAATTGTTATAAGTATTTAGAAGCCGCCAGAAACAGAAAGCGGAGTGGCTTTACAATCTATAGGTTAAAAGTAGAGAAGTTCCTTAGGTGCCACACTCAATTACGGTCAATGTTTCAAAGCTCTGACAAAGCCTCAGGGAAAGGAGATGAGATCAAGATACTTTATATAAAGTGTGAGAAAATAAAGACATAGACAAAGATACACAGAAACTTAAGAACTAGAGGCTGATAAGAGATCAACTGAAACTAGATGGGATGAAAGAGAAAGGAGATAAAGGGCCATTAACAAGCAACCAGCAGAGAAGTGGCCACCTGAAAGGAAACAAGGACGAGGGGATGCGGTTATGTTGCCTTAATATGCTGAGAGCAGTGGGGAAAGCAGCCAAGTACTGAGGAATCCATCACTCCTATGTGTTGTTCAGCTTTGAAAGCATCATAGGTGGATTGGACTGCAATGGTTCATAACAGTCATAACCCCATGCTGTCTAATTGTGCCATCTGTACAATGTATTAGGCTAGAGTAAATTTTGTGACAACAAGGAAATACTGATTCTATGTTTTTTAAAAAAAAAATGATCCCAGCTAAAACCAGCAAGGTTTTGTTAACAAAGACTTTATCATGATCTGTCTACAACAGAGCTCTGAACAAGGAGGGCATGGCTGTGGCTCATACCAGACATGTATCTCACATGTAGACTCTTTTTGGAAGACAGGTTGGCACTCTGATCTCAATAACCCAAGTAGGGTATCCATTTCTCTTCACAATTATTACGTTAATGTATATTCATCCTATACACATAACAAAATTACTTGGAGCCTAGGATACTATTGCCATCTCAGTTGATACTTAATTTTTAAAATCTGATACTCAGGTCTTTTGCATTTCAATGAAAAGTTTGCATTATAATGGAGGTTCCTGATGTGAAATCTATTCCTTTGAAGGTTGGAAAGTCTTGGATATATAATGTGACATTTTCAAGATTTTAGTAAAAACAAAATAAAACAAAAGCTCTAGCTGCCTGGGAATTGCTCTGTTAAGGTCTTCAGGTTGCCCACATGTCTATGTATGAGCTTTTCATAGGCTCACTTAGTGTGTAAGGGGACTGTGATTGTTTCTATTCAAAAGCTTGATTTCTCTTCAGTGGGTAAAAATTGACTTGAAAATTGGACAATTTTCTGTGTGATTTTTTTCTTTAGAAAATAGGGCTAATCAAAAAAGAAGAAGAAAAACAGAATACAAATGCATAATGAGTTTGAAGGAGTTGTGTAATCTAATCTATTTGTTTTATTCTAATTAGCATGTTTTATTTGGGAAAAATTGTGGCTGGCTTCTCAGAAACTCTGCAGATAATTCTCAATCTCTCAATGTTTGTTTTAAGCCTACACTACTAATATCAAATTCGAACTTTATTTTAAAAAGAAACTGACATAGAAAACAAGAAGTCATGAACTTACTTGATATGCCTCCACTCCCTTTTTCTCCCTTTTGGCCTTTAGGTCCAGGATATCCTTAGGGGGAAAAACAGCAAAAGAGAAAAGAATTAGTTCAACAGAAAATGCTGATATCTTACTCTGCTTCTCCACTACCTGTTTCTTTTTCTCTTTATTCTCTTTCATTTGGGAGTGCTGGAGATTGTACTCGAGGCCCGTGTATACTAAACCCATGCTATACCACTAAGGCGTGGTTTCAAACTCCACAGAACTTGTTTTAAATGGAAATAGGACACCACAAAATAAGACACCAATTTATAACAACTTATAGTTAGTCAAATATAATAACCACCCCATGCTGATAATGATGGCGGCCACTTTTGAAACCCCATTATAATTTTAGTATTATAACATCTATAATTATTTACAAGGGTGTGATATGTCCCCTTTTCACAAAACAGGCAAAACTGAAATGTAGTATAATTTTGCATGTTCGTTTTCATTTTCCTCTCTATCTGACCTTGCCTTTTCCCTCCTCCAACAGCTCAACATCTTCTAACTCATCCCATATCTTTACTATTTTCCATTACAAATTTATTTTATGTCTCATTATTTATTCCTTTGCAAGAGAACATCCTAAAGGCTGGATTGTATAAGTCCAGGGACATGATGGAATTCTAATGACTCCATTCCTAAGTGTTAATTGGTCCCTTAATTCTGTAGACTAATCACATTTGGCTATGAGAATACACATCTATTTACATAGGGATGTAGCCCAAGTGTTACATAAGGGTCAGTGATTCAAACTTAGAAGTAAATATGGAAACATTCATCATGGGTCAGACCCCAACATTTTAATTTTTAAAGAATACTCCTCCTTAATAAAGAGTATTACCACATTTTCCGATTGTTCAAGAAGAAAAATAAAAGATCTAAAAATGTAAATGGGAGAAAAGTAACATTTATGATGAACATTTATGGTTCATCGTTTCTATTCTTCCCAGAGAAAGCCACAATATAAAACTCAGTTTCAACATTTCAGCTTGAATTTCGTGCTTAGGAAGGAGAAATAGTTGTACAACTGCTACCACTGTTTCTTATACAGTGATGTCTATACAGTAAAGCTACAGTTTCTATACAGTGTAACACCAGCATTACACAGAAGAGGAGTCCACGAATACCCTGTGATCTGCCTAACTATCATGGCCCCTTCTCTAGACACCTGGCAACCAGAGATGTACTTCCTGACTCCACAACTTTGCCTTTTCCAGAAGAGCACACAGTTGGAATCTTCGAGTTTAGTATTCTCAGATCAGCTTCTTTCAGTTGGCAATTTGCATTTAAGATTTTTCCATATCATTTCGTGGCCTGATTGTCTGTTTCTCTTTGTTGTTGTTGTTTTTGTTTGTCTCTTTGTTGTTGTTGTTTGTCTTTGTTGTTTGTTGTTGATTCTGCTTTCTGCCTTCTTCACAACTTGTTTATCCATTCATGTACTGAAGTGTGGTAGAGGTTGGGTGAAGAGTTCATAGTGTTTAGGTGGATCACAACTTGCAACTAAGAGTCTATTCTGTAACACCATAGAAATGGAATGCTGTTCACTTGTCAGACTTCATACAATATGGAACACAAAGAGTGAACCATAACGCACTCAATGACTTTTGCTAATAATTATAAACTTCTACTGGCTTAATGCTTGCATCAAATGTTTCCTCAGTGTATTTAATGAGAGGTGTATGAAAAATAATTGCCTTCCTTGATATTTTCCTATAAACCTATAAGTGCTGAAATCTATCAAAACTATCTTAACAACATGAACTGTATTCCCTTGGTATTACTATCATTTAAATAGGAAATAATCTTATTCCCTACTGATGTTGTTGTACAAAGAACACAATCCAATGTTAGTCTATTAATATAATTAGTTGTAATAACAATTGTTTTCTGTGCAAAAGAGACATTACTGAGCAATGTTGATTATTATGCACTAATATGTAAGATAAATCCATTAATTTTGTTATCGATATTTTTCAACTGGAACTTACCTTTATACTGTTCACTTCTTTTTCTTGGTAGTCTTTTGACTCTGCTAACTGTATGGTAGATAACTTTCTTCATAGTGTGCTGCTATTGTGTAAAATGAATAGATTATGTGTGTGTGTGTGTGAATGTGTATATATGATCTGTGTACACAACTATTTTATTTTGGGGCATAGGAATTTCACTCTTACGAGTAAAAACTAATTTCAATTTATTTTAGACTATAAATTTAACTGTTAGAGTACTGCTGTTCTATAAGTACAGATTTTTATGCAAGCACTTTAGAAACACTACCAAAGATCCAGATTTATTTTCATATTCTATGATAACAACCATAGCTTTACAATACCTGACCTCCCCGCTTTTCCAGGTGACCCTGGGTATCCTCTATTTCCAGGGAAGCCAGCTGGACCCCGATCACCTTTAAGGCCTGGAGCACCTGTATGGTTAATAAAGAAAACAAAAAATGTCTAGCAATTAATTTTCAAACATATTTGAGCACCCAATAAATGAAGTAAGTGAATCTCTGAGGAGAGTATGACATTTTCCAACCATCCACACATTCGATTGAAAGATAATGTAATAAATGACATAAATTTGTTGCAATGAGTGTGTTACAGTCAACGAAAAGCACATTGTCAGTCAACTAAAAGCACTCCATTTTCCATTTTAGCTAGAAAGCTACTATCATCTGTCTATAACTTGTATAAAAATTTTTGAAACTTAACATCTTAACATTCTTATATGATAGATTTTATTCATGATTTTCAACTTGGGGTATTTTTTTCTCATGTAATTTTGACTAGTCAAAATATTTATAGAAAAAGGAATGCTTATTTCATCTAAAGAGAAAAACTAAAAACAAATCCAAGGTATTTAGGTAAATTGACTAGTCTTCCTTTCTAGTTGTGTTTAAATCATTCAGTCTATTTTATTTGCAAACATTATGAAGGGAATTTGTTTGCAAAGGATGGCATTTGAATGCATGGCAATAGCATTGTTTTTATTGTTAGTTACAGAATTGTTTTATGAGCAAAGAAAGTTCATTTTCTCTCTCCTTTTCTATGTCTTCCATAATCTCCTTTCAAAACATTGCTTTCAAGATTATGACATCCTTAGAGGAAAATAATTAAGCACAATTTTGTGACTCACTAATGTTTCTATATAACTGGAAAAAATCATAGCTTGCAAATTAATCCAATGTGAAGGTGATTTTCTTATTCTCCTTCACATATAGGTTTATGTGAACAATATATTGCATGTGGTCTCTATGAATGCCCTCAGACTCATAAGCAAGCTCTTGTAGTAACTGCTGCTAAATAATTAAATAATGTACAAAAGTCAATAATTAGTGCTTGGGCTAGAGAGATGACCCAGTAGTTAAAAGCACTGGTTGCTCTTCCAGAGGACACATGTTTGATTCCTGGAACCCATATGGCAACTAACAATTATCTGTAACTCAAGTTCTCTGAGAGCAGATACCCTTTTCACATCTCAGAAGATACCAGGCATTTACACAGTGCACAGACATATGTGCAACCAAAACATACACATAAAATAATAAAATACTTTAAAATAAACTAACACTCACCATTTAATTTTCCATGTGATTAGGATGCTAGAATGCATTATATTTTCCAACACATGAGATGATTTACAAACACTCACACACAGCTACACCACAGAAAAGATGAAATGGATATTCATCCCTAATTACAAACATGGATACACATCATTCAACCTCATGGTATATGATTAAGTGATTACACTATGTCCTTACCATTTAAACCCGGAATGCCAGGTGGACCACTTATTCCAGGGAGCCCTCGGTCTCCCTTTTCCCCTGGAGGTCCAGGAGGTCCTTTAAGAAACACAGTATTGACTATAATTATAAAGCATGGGTAAGATTATCATTTATCAAGATAGTTATATGGAAATCCAAATATTTCTATTTGCTGTACATTAATATAAAATGAATAACGCTGACCTTTCTAAATGGCTAAGTACTTTGATGTTGAGAACTGCAATGGCCTCATCTGAGAAAATGTCATATCCTCAAATTAAATCACATAAATACTGTTGTGAGGTTAATATTTTGCTAGGTTATAATAAAGTGGTAACAGAGAAAGGGTCACTGTGATAACACAAAATAACATAAATATTGTACATATTAAAACAAGGTTGTAATACTCTTGGTGGAGATAAATATGCATATGTATATGGATGTGTGTATGTGTGTGTATGAGTGTGTGGGTGAATGTATGTACTTGTCACAACAATTAAAGGAATAGAAGCCATAAATTTGAAAGATAGAAAGTAGGGTACATGGGAAGGGTTGGGTGGAAAAAATGGAATGGGGGAAATTAATGGAGTATATTTTAACTTAAAAACCTTAAAATCTGTAAAATAAGTGTTGATAAAGTTAGGTGATTCCTTTTCTAGGTAAAATGAGTAAACTGTAGACTATGTAGACCAATTACAAGGCTGATACGACACACAAAACTGGAAAATGGTAGAAGTACAACAAATATCTAATACAAACATTCTCCATCCAAAATTCCAAATTTGTGATCTCACAGGCATTACAGATGAAGAATGAAGTTAAGGGCAACCAAAACCCATAGGAATAATTTTTCCAAAATGCACTGGGAACGTCTTATTATCATTTTGCACCACCTACAGTTTTAAACAATTTCCATAAAAATATTTAAAATTACAAACAAAACCAGATGGCTAGGTGGAATTTAGTTGTAGAGTACCAACACAGCCTGTCCAGGGCCCTAGGCTTTATTCCTAGCACTGAGTGTGAGAAAATGGTATGTGTGTAAGCATAGCTGTTATTTTCTTGTGTTTATTCCCTAAGAGAGAATACAGAGCAAATATTACACAGTATTTTTCTTTTATTAGTTATAGTAACTAATTCTGCAGTCATTCAAAATACAGACAACAGAGAAAAAATACTAGGCCTCTTCAGATACTTGGTATACTTGGTATTCAAAGGCACAATTCCCATAAATTATCCTCATAAAATAACCAAAATAATTATGAATGTGTATGGAGTAAGACAGTGAAAAATCAAGAGCAAACAAAGAAAATGACATCAAGATTATACCATTGATTTTTGCTAAGTGAACTTTTAAAGCATTTTATGAATAAGGATGATAACCCAGAAAAGTCGGATGATATAGATTTTTTAAAGGACTAATTGGCTAGTTCATGGGCAAGTTTTAATAAATTATTTTAATACAAAGTAAGATGAGCAATGTAGACTAAACTCTGGTTTGTGAAAGTCCATAGCATAGAAATGAACTGTAATCTCATACAGAGGGCACAAGGGAATGTGTCATAAGGCAAAGCACTTTCAGTTCCCTATACAATTCAGTTATCTTTTAAGATGCTGACCAGCATTAACGTATATTAGAACATTTCAACAGCAATCAAGACATATGGAGTATATCATAAAGTTTTTAAAACTTCTTTAGTAACCTTGATGAAAAATAAATTCAATAAAAATAATTCACATTAACTATAGAAAAAACAAACCAAGAAAACGAGAGAGACATAAATCAAGTTGGAAAAAAAAAGCACCCCCCCCCCAGAAACAGATACAGGGAAAAGAAGTTGTCAGGTCTTCAAATTCAAGAATTTTTACAGGAGATAACACTATAAGCACACAGACCAGAAAGTTAGAACTATAGAAAAATAGTCATAAAGTGAAAATGACTAAAATCTATTATGTGGGCATAAATGACTTATGTTCGCTAAAAGATGAGTAAGGGTCATTGGCACGGTAGAAGACACTGATATAGCTAAGATTATCTTTAAGAATTCAAGAGGTGTTTCTAAATGACAGTATAGTCAGAAAAGAAGGAAAGAGATTTTTTTGTGCGTTTATAGTTCTCTCTTTGATTTTTTTTTTTTTTTTTTTTTTTTTTGAGGCAGCCTCTCACTGTGAACCTTAGTCTGGCTTCAAACTTGTGGCCTCCTGCCCCAGCCTTCCCAGTGATGACTCACCATGTCTGGTTTTGCATTTCTCTTTAAGAAATTCTAGTGTGTGGGTGACATTCCCACACCTGCCCTCATATTAACTGTTCTTCTCTGCATAGTAACTGTCTGTAGTAACTGCATCCTCAAAAATCATTTCCTTTAGACGACAGGATTTCAAATACCAAAGGTCTGCATATAAAGATATATTTTAACGTCTCATTTTTAGGGACAAGATGTCTCACCTTGAATTAAGGTGATATTTTTCAATGTCTGTGAGTGTTCCCAGTCCTTCAGTCTGAGGTCATTAGTGATGTTATTCAAAACTTTCATTTCCTGTTTTACTTCCTGTTCCACATGTTCTTGTTCTTGTTTCACAGACTGGATTTCTGCTGATGCTTTGCGCACACGTTCCTCTAACTTATTGATGTCCTAAAACACACAGTGAGCATTGCAACCTTTGTTACATGCAATTAGGAAATATATAAGTGAACAGAGTTTGGAAATTTGAATGTTGTAAAGTCACATAACATTGGGCAAGTGTTATAAGATAAGAATAAGGAAATGAGTATTCAAAATTGCAGGTCTCTGGCTGAATAGCATTTCTTCTTTAAACTAAATGGTTCACTAAGATCCCTAGTCAGAACAAACAAAATCAGTTGCCTATACATCTAAGAATGCTTCTACTCCCAAATAAGCAAATCTCAAATATTGAGAATTAAAAATAGCACTTATCATAGGGGTTTTAATTTATTCAAAGTGAAATTCCTTCACAGTTCATTTGGGGGTTAAACATTCTTATTTTATGATATTGTTTCATAGCAATAACTGAAGTTTAATGTGATTCTCAGTGATAATGACAATAAGAACAGAGTTTCATATTTAGTAAGATGTCCAAGTTGCATTTTCATAACATTTTACTCTCAGTTTTTATTGCCTCTTCTCTTGATACTTTTGTATTTTCATCAGTTATAAGTAGACCATGTGTAGATGCATACATCCATGCACATATACACAGTGTGTACAGCTCTTTTCTTCTTCATATTTCTTTGAGATATTATCTCATGTAACACTTGGCCTTAAATGTGTTATTTAGCTAACTTCAACTCCTGATTCTCTTCTTCTACCTTTTCAGTGCGGAGATTTCAGACATTTATTAGCTATCATACACATATTCAAATGTTGGCTGACCAAGGAACGTGCTAAACAGGACATAGAAGAGCACAGGAGCGAATAAGGCTTCAACCCTACACATAGAACTATAGGTGACTGAGGAAATGGGAGCAGGAGCAGTGGCCCTCCCCAAGGAAGAGCACACCAATTGGTTGTCCAGAGCCAAATGGTAAGTCTGAAAATATACATGCAGGTAGCGTGATACAGACTGAATAGGTTATATTTAGGAACACACACGTACATACATATGCACATATGAATAAAATAACAATTAACTGAAAAAGGGGGTCATGGATTTGAATGAGAATTGGGAAATGTATAGGTTCTTGGAGGGAGGGAAGTAAGGGAGTTTTGTAATTAAATTATGATCTCAAAAATAAAATTACAAGAGCCTTTGCTGCTGTAATACTGTTATGTCTGCTTGCTTCTTTTGCAGTGCTGGGCTGAGCCTAGGGCCCTATGTCTGTTTTGTTATCATTCTACCACTGAGCGATAATTTATTATCTGGAAAATAGCTTCATCAGGAGTGTTCTTTTGTTGTTGAATCTCAATTTTTGAGATTGTAATTTAACTTCAATGTCTTCCCCCTCTTTCCTCTCCTGAAGCCCTCCCTGTGAGAGCTCAAATAGGAATAGAAAACAATGCATATTGAATCTTATGGTGATTGTAAGTATACACTGTTATCCTATTAAGAACTCATGTTTAAATATATTTATATTTTCAAATTTTAATTTTAGTTACCAGTGCAAAAAAAACCTTAAGTGTATCTTCTAGAAACAGAAAAATAAATTATCTAAAAATTCTGCTTCATAAGGTATCTATGTAAATAACATGCATATTACTTTGATGTAAAGATAATTAGATTATTCATAGAATTCACAATACATGTATTTACCTTCCCAGACATGCTCAGGTAATCTAAATCTTATAAGTGGTGTAGTCTAACAAGATAATAAGTGGTATTTATAGTATAAAAACAACTTCATAACCTAGATCCATTGAAAAATAATATTCTCTCTTTTTAGGGGTCTGGAAAAGGTCCCAATTACATCTATGAAGATCTCTTATTAGATTGTCAGAAGTGTCTACATCAGTAGGTGAAATAGAAAATTTTTGTTCCTCCTGCTTTCTGAATTGCCTAAGAAAACAGAATCTGTATGAATTTTGTTCTAGAGTGAACTACGCTATTGTATTCTGAAATGCTTACCTCCTGTTGCTTCACGGTAGACTCATTGACTTTGCGGTTCAGTGTTTCTGTATGGAGCTGGACATCAAGCAGTGTGGTATTGAGACTCAGCAAGGATTTGGAGATTTCATCTAGTGAGTTCCCATGTTCCTGGACTGATGAAATCAAGGAACTTAACTGCAGCAGAACATCATTAAGTCTTTGGTCAGTTGCCATACTGAAATTCTGGAAGCGTTCTGTGTCCATGAGGTTGTCTTTTAAGTCTGAAATTCTTTGGATTCTCTCCTCCAAGTCCTTCATGTGTTCCATGAAGGCTGGAAATCTCATTTCAGCTTTCCTGGTGTCTTCTTCTCCAATCAGACTTTGAGAAGTATCACTTGTGTTCATTGAACCAACAAAGCAATTCTTCATTCCCCTATTGATAAGCTGAGCTGAATATTTAAACAAAAACAAATCAAATCATAGCCTATATCAATTTGGGCTCATCACTACTTTCTATGTCTCTGCACTACATTCCATTACAGTATGTTGAATGCTATCCTAAATCAAGAATGTATTTTTGAAACATAAAGCAAAGAAAACCAGCCTACAAATCAAAATCTTGGAGAACTTAAATAACAATGAGGACACTACGAGAGACATACATAGATCTAATCCACATGGAAAGTAGAAAAAGAAAAGATCTCCTGAGTAAATTGGGAGCATGGGAACCTTGGGAGGTATTTAAAGTACTATCACTTACAACAGTGGCTGAGACGGAGTAGACTAAATATGTAAAACTTATCACTGGCAGCTGATAGCCATGGAAATTCTATTCCATTGCAAAGTGGATTATACATGAAAGAATGTCTTATCTGAATTCTTGCAGCCTTTACTCTCATAGAAAGAAATGTCGCTAATTGATTATTATTTATATTAACAATAAGTGTTACTGTGGTTTTTATTTAAAGGCACTTTATATTTCTGTGTGAAATTAGCTTATTGAATATAATAATATATCAATGGTGTTTTGATGTGGTCTACAACAAGAAACACAATTATTGCATGTCAGTCATTCTGAATTTCTTAATCAATAAATTAGACATACAGCCCAGTTCACGCACCCTCTCCTCCACTGCCCAGTGTCCTAGCTGGGGTCATCCCCGTGGACTCCTGAGATCCCCTCCAGAGCCAAGCCTCATGCCAACCCCAAAATAACTCCCTCAATTAAGATATCTCCTTCTCTGTTTACATATCTGTCCTTCCTCCATCTCAATCATCCCACTCCCCCAAGCTCTCCCCAAACCGTCCCCTTTTCCCCTGTCTCTCATCCTCTCCCCTTCCCCCCAGCCCACCCCCACCACCATGCCCTCAACTTTTGACTGGGGATCTTGTCTGCTTCCAATTTCCAGGAGGATCTACATATGTTTTTCTTTGGGTTCACCTTATTACTTAGCTTCTTTAGGATCATGAACTATAGGCTCAATGTCCTTTGTTTATGGCTAGAATCTACTAATGAGTGAGTACATACTATATTCATATTTTTGGGTCTCGGTTATCTCACTCAGGTTAGTGTTTTCTTTTTCCATCCATTTACATGAAAAATTCAAACCTGAACTGGCCTTATCCCGTAGTCAGACTAATGACTATCTTGAATATCACCATAGAACCTTCATCTGGCGATGGATGGAAAAAGAGACAGAGACCCACGTCAGAGCACTGGACTGAGCTCTCAAGGTCCAGTTGAAGAGCAGAAGGAGGGAGAAAATGACCAAGGAAGTCAGGACCATGAGGTCCACCCACTGAGAGAGTGTGCCTGAGCTAATGGGAGCTCACCAAATCCAGCTGGACTAAGACTGAATGACCATGGGATCAAAAAGGAGCCTCTGAATGTGGCTGACAATTAGGGCAGACTGAGAAGCCAATGATAATGGCACTGGGATTTGTCTTTACTGCATGTACTGGTTTTTTGGGATCCTATTCTATTTGGATGCATACCTTCCTAAGCCTGGATGGAGAGGGGAGAGCCTTGGACTTCCCACAGGGCAGGGGACATTGCCCTCTCTCAGGATTGGAGGGGGTGGGGAGAGGGTGTGTGGGGTTTGGGATGGAAGTGGGAGGAGGGCAGGAAGTGGAAATTTTGATTGCTATTATTTATAAAATAATAAAAAATTAGACATAAAGTATGTTTGCTTGCTACAGATAATCATATTTATTAAATTCAAACTGAGAAGCAAATTTTTATGTAAAACTTAATCAATTTAATGCTTTACCTATAGAGCACTTCTGGTGTGAACTATCAATTGTGAACTGGCAATAAAAGTGTATGCCTCATCAAGAAAACTTTTCTTTGGAACAGACAGAGATAACTACACAAAACCATCAATAAAAATCCATTGGAAAGCTTGGTCTCAAGCAATGAATCTACAAAATGCTCTCACACTTAAGGTTCAAGGAACATCACCAAGAGGGCACATGAAGACTGAAAGAGCCAGAAGATCATGGACTTCTGTGAAACTGTGTCTCCTAGTAACATCAGAAGATGAAGCTATAAAGTCTCACCCACATGGCTGTCCAAATGGGAGCCGAACAAAGAGGACACTAAGCAAGCACATTAAATAAATAAATAAATAAATAAATAAATAAATAAATAAATAAATAAATAATAAAATTTAGAACTAAAGATTATTCCCTGAAAATATAGCAAGATAAAGAATGTCACAAAGACAATATTAGTGAACATAACAAAACTGCATAGGGAACACCCCACAAGTCTCAACCTTGCACAAAAAAACTCCAGGCCACTAAGTAAAGCTAGGATCAGGAGAAGTGCCCCTGCCCAAGGAAGAACACGACAATTAGTTGCCCATTACCAAATGGTCAGACTTAGAAACATAATCCTCAGTAGCACATGGACTCAACAGGTTATGTTCGGGAATACACATGTATATACGAATGCACGTATGTGAGAAAGAACAACTGATAAAAAGGAAGTCAGAAGTTTGGAAGAAACTCAGGGATGGGTATATGGGAAGGTTTGGAGGTGGGAAAGGGAAGGGAGAAGTGTTGCTATTAAAACACAGTCCCAAAATTAAACAAAATAAACCGACTGGGAAGGCATTTTGTCCCTAACAATAATAAACTTAAATCAACAACATTTAAAAAAACTGTTTCAAAATTGTCCCATGGTGAACATTGCTTCATTTAGTCAGCAGTTACGACACAAAATTTTTTTTTCAGGGACATCACAAATCTCATATTCACATACACAGTCATACAGAAAAAATCAGAATCTACTTAGATGTTTGGTAAAATGACTTAATTACAGCCCATTGAACAAAAGATGCCAATGTGTTGAAAATGTCACCCATATATCTCAGTGTGTACTCCTGAAATTTACTTCACATGTTTTCATTTTATTTTTGGGTAACTGAAACTGCTCTACCCTTCTCCTATTATTGATGTTAACATCTCCCTAAAACTGGCATTCATGCCATGACAGCACTCAGTGATTGGATCCTGTATTCCATCCTCTTATTGTATCCTTCATTCCTTGTTCTTTCCCCGCAATCTCTCTACCCTCTGGTCATATACTAGACTTCTCACAAGTGAAAATATATCTTTATCCACAAAAGCTTTCTCACTTGAATCTCCTTCTCTAAAAGTCTCTTTGAGTTCTCAATCTCAACCTCTTGGAAACCTTTCAAATGTCAACTCATTTCTGAACTATCCCTGCATATCCTCCTTTTAAAGCCTGCATGAATACTCTTCATTTTTGACTCCCACAAACCTTATATACTACTGAGACACATAGACTTCCCCACTCTTTAGCTACAGATTTGGACTTGCTGATTTTAACTGCGACACAAAATTTTTGAGTGGTATATACTGGATTAACATTTAAGACTGTGTTTATGAGCAGCGACATTGGACTAGTTACTAGTGTTCAAGCTTTCATTTTACCATCTGTGCAAATAGAATGTTAGTACTACTATCAACAACAAATAAGTATATAAAAAGTGTATAGATCATTTCCTAATATTAATAAGCATTTGATGCTTCAGGATTAAAGTATCATCTTATATCTAAATCCTTAATATTGATGAATTCCATTATAATGATATATTAACTATGTATAGTATAAATATGTTACTTAAGTAAAAGTAATCAATTAATAAATTATACTAAATATATTAATATGTTGTATAATATAAAAACATTCCTGTAGGGAGTAGTGTCTGTAAACACAGCAGTTTGCGCTTTATTTTACAAAATCTATGTCCTATTTGCTTCATCATAGAACTTTTCTTTGAAAACAAGATTTATTTCACAGAGTAAAATAGTATTTTTTTCTCAGCATAGAAAGGGGAGGTCAGATGTTGTTAAAGGTTGCATCAACTATGATTTTAATTTGACAGCATAGTCATTAGTTGATAATAAAGGCTTTGTTTATTTATTTTAAAAACATAGTTTTTCTTGTCTCCTCAATAATAAATAAAACTAACTTCAGCTTTACTTTATTTAAAAATAGTTCGCTTGAGTGCTGGATCAAGGGGCTTTATGGTACTTGTCAGGCATGCATGTGAACCTTAGAATCTAGACTACAGCAATAACTAGCTGTGGTGGTCTTAATGAGACTGGGTTCCAAGCACTCATATATTTAATGTTTTGATTCCACAGTTGGTTTTACTGCTTAGGAAATATTAGAGAGTGTGATTGTGTAGAAGAAGAACATCTATGAGGCATGACTTGAAGTTTCTAAAGTCTTGGTCTATTCTAGTTTCCTCTTTCTTGCTCGTGGTTGTATCTCAAGCTGCGAGCTCTTAGAGCCATGCCTGCCTCCTTCCTCCCATGCTCTTTGCCAGGATGGTTATGGACTCTAATCGTTAGAGTTACAGTAACTGTAAGGTTCAAATTAATGTTTTTTTATAAGTTGCCTTGCTCATGGTGTCTTATCACATCAATAGAAAAGTTAGACACTTTCTAAGCAAATTAAATAGGTAAGAAAAATGTAAAGTAGGGATTACCCCCTTATAATACAAATATATAAAGAATGCCACAAGGACATGGCCAAAGGACATACCAACGTGGACAGAAAAAAACTCATGAGGCCACAACTTTACCCAAAGAACTTTAGGCAACTGAGAAAGCTGGGAGTAGGAGAGGTGGTCTTCCCCATAGAAGAACACACCAATAGGAGGTACATTGTCAATCAGCCAATGCTGAAACCATCCATACAAGTAACAGTATGCAAAGTAATCAGGTTATATTTTAGGACTATATACCTATGCACATATATACATATGCAAGCAATAACAATAGTGAAAACAGGGCATTAATTTTAGAAGAGTAGGGAGGATATGAGATGGTTTGAAGAAAGGAAAGGTATGGTAGAAATGTTAAATGTAAAATTATGTTATAATCTCAGAAATAAAATCGAAAGAGAAGGTGAGAGTTCTTATATTCTAAAGTGTATTTCTTTTCGCTTGTTTCTGGAGAGATGGTGTTATGTAACATCTCTATTTTACGCAAAAGAAGTCAAACTTTTACTCATCTGCAAATACCTAGGGAGCTGGTGGTATTTGATTATCCAGATCAGATTTACTCTCTCGTGTTAACAATACCTTTGTCTATCTACAATTTATATTCTTTAAAACATAAAACAGCAATTCATGCAATTCATTCTAGAACAGATCTTTTGCACTGCTCCAGTTGTATGCTGTTATTTTCCGTCAGGAAAGCGTCACATTCTTTAAGAAAGCTATCACATATAGTAGGCCATGAAGAAAACAAACAACTTTTCACGCATGTGTTACTTCAAATTTGAATAGCTTTATGTCCATCATTCTGCTTCAACTATTAATTCATGAGTTGCACCAGTGCTTTCGACATTCTGCATTTGTGAACAACTGATATCACATGTGTCTATACAACATATTTTAACTTTTCTTTGAAAGATATTATGATCTGGTACTAAGAGATACAAGTTCACTAATTTACCTATTATTGGTACATGATAATCACAATGAGTTCTGCTTAAAATTCTGGTGAATTTGGTACTGGTATTAATTTACATGATTAGAATATTCTATGCCTTATATGTGTCAACAGGTTCCTACTGTAATTTTAAGAAACAGAAAACCACAGATCAATTAATATATATTCCAGAACAAATGTTTGACTTGGTAATATTTGTTAATGACTCAAAAACTTTGAACTTGATTACAGGCCTGGATACTTTTTAGGCTTCTGTTTTCTTGGGTAACGGCCTATCAGAGCACTCAGTCCTTGAGATAGCTTTGTAGACTGTGCTTTGTACAATGAGATGGAATTTGCTCAAATTCTACCTGGTGTAAATTTGGTGACACCAGACAAGGGAATGTCATTCAACTTTGTATTCACACTTCAGATAAGCATGTCCACATGGACAACATGGAAATGATTTTATTTGTGAAGAATCTACATTACTGGAAACTTCAGTTCTCTTCATTCCATAGCTACCATTTGTTTGCTGTTTGCTTTGGTTGTTATATTTGGATATTTGTTTTCTCTGCTTTTTATGGCTAAAACAGGAGCTGGTTTTTTGTTGCTTTTTTTTTGCTTATTTGCTTATGGGTTTTTGTAGGAATATTCTTTTGGCTAACATCATGACAATTCTATTTCCATGTTGTTTTTTCTGGACAATCATGTTTTATTATAATAACCAAATTACAACGGGAGCCAGTAGACAAGAGAGGTTAGGACACAAAAGTCAGAGATGGGAGCACGTTCTCCATTACCGAGGAGTTTCAGTTTTCTGGGGCGGATAATGAAGGTAATTATAGTGTCTGCTGAAAGGGTAATTGTAAAGACGTATTAAAATAACATGCTGAAAGTTTAGAGCCCAATGCTTGGGCATAGTAAATGATGTAAAATGATTAAATGATAGCTACTTTTACAATTGCTGTTGATTTCCTTAGCTTTTCTTTCTGAGGAAAATTTTGAATCTGTTTTGAAATACTCTCTCAAAAGTTTCATTTTGCATTTAGGAGTATTTTCTTAGCGAGATTAGAATGCAGATTCAAATGAACTTTTCCTAAGCTTTTCTCTTGATGTTGCATATAGCAAATATGTGTGTGGGTGTCATGAGAAAAGAACAACGACAAGACCAGCGAATTTGAAAATCAGGCTGTTTGGGGAGGTAGCTCAGTTGATAGACTGCCTTCCTAGTATGTAGGTCACCCTGATTCCAGCACCAGGTGAACTGAATGTGTTGATGTTGTAAACTCGGTACTCAGAGGTAGCGGCAGGAAAATCTGTGCTCAAGGTCGTTCTTAGGTACATAGCAAGTTAGAAGAGCCAGCCCGGGATAAAGAATATTATTTGAAAATATTTCATATAACATATAAACAAACTTCTTAGAGAAATACATGCCTAGAGAACACCACAGGGAACCCAAGTCACAAATCCTATTTTAAAAAATCCCAATGGATGTTGCTGTGTAATTGTTAAAAACTACTTAAATAATGGAACATTAAATACAATAATTAGATATTGTCATATGGTGTAGGAGTTCCTTCTGTTTGTGTGTTGCTTTCATTGGTTAGTGAATAAAGAAACTATCTTGGCCTAGTTGATAGGGCAGAACTTAGGTAGGTGGTGAAGACAGAACTGAATACTGGGAGTAAAAAAGGTGGAGTAGGAGAAAGACCATGGATCCTCCACCTGAGACAGATGCTGGTTATTATCTTTGTCGGTAAGCCACTGCCATGTGGCAATATACAGATTAATAGAAATGGGTTATGCTGTGATGTAAGAGTTAGTCAATAAGAAGTTAGAACTAATGGGTCAAACAGTGTTCTAATTAACACAGTTTCTGTGTGTGTGTTTTTTTACGGGGGGGGGGGGATAAGCTAGCCAGGCAGCCAGGACAAACAAGCAGGCCATTTCCCCTGCAACAGTAATGTTTTTAAAATGTGATATTACCATCTGATTTTTGCATTTGATGTATAAAATTTCTGAAAAGCAATCAGGCATGTTTTTCTGGGGTAGACATTGTTAGGGTAAATGACCATACTTGCTTTCACATTGACACATACCTCAGAAACAGAATATTAGATTCTTTAAACATACTTTAGAAGACACTGGAGACACACAAAAGAACCATGGCTGACTTCATTCTTTTTTAGGGTGCATTTCTATTATGCAGTAATTGGAATTTCAGGAGTGCTTCAGTCCAACACTAGAAGTGTTACGAACTATTGAGTATATTCTACTTTTGAAATAGTCTAAACCTTATCACTGCACTTTCTTTTTAAAAAATTACAGAAAGTTTAATATAAAAATTCAATTACATTTATATGTAACAGTAATGAGCAATAGCAGTGTAAAATTCAAATTCATTAGATTTACAAAAGCAAGAAGAGAATCTAATCTGTCATGTCTACCAGTACATGTACATGATATATGTAAAACTCTGAAAGAAGCTAACAACACTCTAAACAAGTGAAGATGCACCCCATACAGTATTTTATGATTGCTTAAAATTATAAACATGCATATCTGCACACACAGTCACGCACAGTTTAAATGAAATTTTGCAACTTGGGGTGAAAATGCTTTCCCCTGCTCATATTGAACAGTACTGTAAACCTAGCCTAGAGGGCATACAAGAGCCACATCCCTACTACAATCAAAGTTCTAACTGCCTTCTAAATAATTATCTATGCCCATGGATGAGTGTAACTCCCACAGCTCATCACCGCTCTTCAGAGAAGTGCCCCTCAATAGACTGAGATCACTACAGAAATCCCCAACTTGCCAAAATGGCCAGAACAACTGCCTGGTATACCTATCCCAAATTGATACACCTATAATACAACCTGTACATCCAAGGTCCAGCGAGCATCACAGAAGAGGGGACAGAGAGTCTGTGAGAGGAAGAGGACCAGGTTGTTTACCAACAGATGATGTATTATATGTATGACATGGACTGGCACTCATGAAATGGTAACACTGTGATCACCTGAACAAGACCTGAAAAATAACACCACCAATTGACTTTTAAGTATAGATGGAGGAAATCTCACAAGGCCCTAATCCTGAATACATGGCTTTCGGTGAAAACTGAGTCATCTGTAGAAATGAGTGCACTCATATGTTTTCCATCCCAAGAACTCAGATATACACATATCCATATCACAGTAACAAAGAATAATAGATAATGGTTTTGAGAAGAATTTGGAGACAAGGGAGAAGAAAGAGAGCAGAACAGATGTAAACTGAGCTCTCTTCATGTCAATATTTTTATTTTACTCTTTTATATTTCATTTATAAAATTAAAAGAACCTTCTACTTACATTACGGAATCTATTTTAATTGCATCTGCCGAAATCGAGGAATGCTTTGCATATGGAGTTTCTTTATGAATCCATCATACAAAACTGTTATAGGTTCTGCTTTCACAATGAGCACACAAACAAAGTTTCAAGATTCTAGGATACCGTACCTGCTACTATCCCAATGAGTGGTATCAGAACTGCAAACACAAGAAGGTAGAGAGCAACTAAGGCAGTTTTGAAGGACTTCAGCTTCTCCTGAGGGGAAGAGCCATTCTTAGGATCTAAAACAGAGCAAAAGAGAATAGAGCAAAACCCCAGTCTATTATTAAAACACAAAAAATAAAACAAAACAAAAAACCCTTAATTAAAGTCTTCGTAACTGGTGCTGGATGTAAGGTTTAGCAGATGAAGTGCTTATTGTACAAGTGAGGGAGCATGACTGTACATGATCTCCTATTTGTACATCTCACATGAGTGAACTATAACACACAATTACGTTAAATGGATAAAAAGTGAGTCACATTTTGATAAAAGTTCAGAATGCATCAATGAAACCCATCCTCTGGATATATGAGAATGTACTAACTATACTTTTCCCTTTGACGTACTTTCACATAGAACAGGAATTTTTATAAAGGGATATGGATTACAGTGGGACTATGCTGATACAGAGGGAAAATGGTAAATTCTCTCCATATTTATTGTGTAGGAAGTATGTGTATGTTCATGTATGTGTATGACTGCCTGTGTACGTCAGGATTTCTTTGGAGGCTCATGGTTAGTACTTAGATGTCCTCCTCTATTGTTTGTCACTCTTCCCCTTTGAGAGAGGACCTCTCACGGAACCTATATTTTCTTGGTTTGTCTAGACTGCTGACCAAGGAGCTTCAGGGATCTGCCTGTATTTGCCTCCCTAGTGCTGTGTTCAGAAGAGTGCTCTGCCACCCTCTGCTTTCTACACAGGTTCTGAAGATCCAAGTTCAAGTCTCTCTGCTTGCACGGCCAGCACTTGACTGAATAAGCGACCTCCTCAGTATCTCCCTAAGAGAGTTTTATATAGCCCAGGCTAGCACCACACTCACTCTGCGGCAGAAAACAGCCTTTAACTCATGATTCTCCTGTCTCTACCTCCTAAGTTCGGGAATTATAGATGTGCACCACTTTGTTCAGCTCTGTTCAATTCCACTTTGTGAGACATGGAAAGGGAAAGAAATGAACATTTTAAAAGATACAGTCAAGAAAAAAAGGTAAAGAATGGAAATGAAAAGAACAACCCATTGTAAAAGCAAGTTGAAACTGTCTGTATTTCAGGCTGACTAAATGGGAATCACATTTATGCACCTTGTGTGCGTCTGACGCATAAGGAGGTCAGGGATCAGTTTATCTGGAACTGGAGTCGCAATGGTTATGAGATGCCACGTGCATGCTAGGCACCAAAGCCAGGTCCTTTGAATGAGCAAGTGCTCTTAGACGTGGAGCAATCACTCTGTCCCTTCCACTTTATTTTGGAGACAAGTTCTCTCACTGAACCTGGAAACTACAGATTTAATTAGATGGACTGCCCCAGAAGCCACAGGGATTTTCCTGTGACTTCCTCTCCCACACAGGAATTCCAGGTGTCAATTACCACATGTGATTTGAATTCGCGTGTGTAAACTCATGAGTTTTGCCCGCTGTTTCCTTTACCTGAAATCTCTCTGCAATGCTTCTCTTTTCACCCATCTCCTCAGATATGGACATCAAGGGTTAGTGGATGGATAAAACTTGCGGTTCTGTCACCTCAAGCCTGAGCAGAAGCTGGTGAGCTTTGATTCTTTTGTGTTCCTGTCCCAATCTGATTGATCAATTGTAAGTGGAATTTTTATCTCCCCAAAAGATAGGCAGAAATGCTAGCTCTAGATAACTATGAAGACGATGTTAATGAAGTAGGGTCACTGCAGATGTAGCCAAGTGTAAATGGTGTCTTGTGGTGTGATAACTAGTCTGATGACTGGATCTTTACAAGAAGAGAAAAGAACATACACAGGAAAACGAACTCTCAGAAGCAAGAAGCGGAAGTGCAATGATGCACCCAAAAGCCAGGACTACCAAGAATTGCCAGAAACCACTAGAAAGAGGCATGGCCTTTAAATGACCTTTGTTAATTTGGATACCTTGATTTAAGACTTCTGGGACAGAGAACTGTGACAAAACAAACAAACAAACAAATCTACACTTATTTAATCCACTCAACCCAGGACCTGTGCCACTGTCATTTTCTACTTACTGGGAGGAAGCAATGTTGTCATTGAGCGAGCATCAAACTTCACAGATTCTGAGTAGCTATCAGCTTCCTCTGGTTCATCAGGGAAGAGCCTCTGTTGCTCTATGATCTATTAAACACACACAGAATACACGAATCCCATATGAAATTGCTGAGGTTTCTCATGGTGTTTTAAGTTATTTATAATTAATATTCAATTTTAGCAAGCAAAAGTATAATTAAATACACATGCCGTATAAAGCACGAGATTAATCTTTCTCTTGACTTTTCACTGAAGTATTAAAAAAATCAAATTTATAGGGCTGTGTGGATAGTTGCCAATAAAGTGCCTGCTGATCAAGCATGATTACCTGAATTTGGATGCCTATCATCCCCCAAAAAGCTAGACATGGTACAGTCCTAGTGATCCGATCTGGAGACAGGAGGATCTCCAGCACTATGAGGACCAGTCTGTGCAACCCACTGATGAGTCTCAGAGAGAGTAAGGGATCCTGTCACAAAATAAATGGTGCAAAGAAGCAGGAGGCAATATCCAGCGTTGACCCTTGATTTCCACATACAGGGACACACACGTACAGGCACACGTGTTTACCTTCACTACCTCCATACATGCACTCACATGCACACAAACATGCACTCACACGTAAGTTACAAACACATGAAAAACAGACGGAAGAGGTCTGATTCTTGAGGACTCGCTGTGCTGTTCTCTGTGGAAAGGCATCTGTGTTTACAGGCATGTGGTCTTTGCGTGTGAAGAGGAGTAGACTTACTTTTCTAAGGACAAAAAGATTCAACTGGCAGAAAAATAACTAGCTAAAGAGAAAACAAATGATTTCCCTTAGAACAAATAGCCTCGTGTTTTGGGACAAATATTTCCTGTGACTTTCTGGACTGATTCGTTACACACAGCTTAGTGAGCCAGACTTCCTTGCCAGGGCATCTGCTTATCTGTTTAGAAAGATAAAGTCAAGTAATTAGATTTAAACGCACAGGAAGAGGTAAGTTTTCTTCCATTCCCTTCTAATTGGCGCCCTCTCCCTCATTTCCTCCCCCTGGTCCTCCTTCTCTTTTCTTTTTCTCTCCTCTTTCTCCCCAACTCTTCTCTCTTTCTTTGTAGGTTTACATTACACAACATAAGTCTGTTCTTGTATCATTTTAATTCAATCACCATTCTACTGAACAATATATACCCTTTATCTCTAGTGGCAGTTGTCAGTTATCAAAGTCCTTGAATGTCTTAATATGGAGCTAAGTGGGCCACCATGACAGACTTCCTGATATGTGAGTGGAGAGGGTCAATAATTTGCAAGTCATAGTGAGAGGAGCAAAAGTCTGGCCTGGGATTGCACATTGAGGTGACACTTATGTCAGCATTGCACTGCACATTCAAAAGATAGCAAAAATAATCCTGAAAGTTTTCACTAAAAGGAAATATTTAACATTATTTTACTTCGACACAATGCATATAAATTACAACATAGTACTCACTAAAATGTACACTTTTATATTTACATTTATAAATTTAATTGTGACCAAGATTAGCTCAGTGGTGAAACACTTACCAAGCACGTAACAGGTCTCATTCTTACTTCCAATTATACAAAATATCTTAATTAGGTTTTCTATTGCTGTAATAAAACACCATGACCAAAAGAAAGTTGGAGAGGAAAGGGTTTATTTGATTTATACTTTCATATTGCTGTTCATTTGCCAAAGAAAGTCAAGACAGAAACTCAGACAGGGCAGGAACTTGGAGACAAGAACAGATACAGAGGCCAGGTGGTAAAAAACTGGATGGAAAAATGTTTGCTCACTGTTACTGAAATCATTTTGTTACTCGTTGTCACTGGTCCTTCTCCAAATTAGTAGAGAAGGCTCTAGCATACCTCTTGAAATATCCTGAATTCATTTTCCCCTCAATGTAATGGAAACATTGCAGGCCATTCACTCTATTGTCTATGGAGGAATGTTTATGAACAAAGATGAAGACACTTGTACCTGAAACATACTTCTAGAATGTAAGCTGGCAGATCCGTGTCCAGTTTTCTCCAACATTGTGTTGCCAGAGTTTAAGGCAACCTGGATCCTTTATAAGTGGTGAGTGGATAACTGTGTTATACATTCTAAGACTTAATCCCATGCATTTGTCTTTGCTTGCTAAGTGAGGTGGAATTTAGAAAACCAGGGGTGAGTTCTTTTGCATACGGAAATTCTTCACAATTTTTGTTTGTGATCCAGATTCTGTGGGCTTTTTACTTTAATTCTAGGGTCCCTCAGTACCATCCTTGACCCTGTATTAATGTAACAGGCTCCACAAGAACTTAGTATTTCAATTCTCTTTTTTATTTTTTAGTATTTGTCCTCTTATAGGAAACATCCTGTCACGCCTTGAAAATTCATATCCTGATTGACAATCAGAGGCAGGCTTATCTTCTAGTTTAGGCAGCCTGAGCTTCCATCAAAACCAAGGTGTATATTTCCTAGCTTTGACTCAGCCTCTCCACAAGCTAGAACACTAACATGAGGAAGATGAAGCCAGACTGAAATACTTTGAATAAAATTGTACTAGAGTCATATTCCTTTTTAAGTATATATATTTTGTTGTCTTTTGGATCCAGAAGTAAACTTGCCTCTTAGGGCTTAGGAACACAAACTGCCTCTGTTCTGGTCCTTGTCTGCTATCCTTTGATTCTTGTGAGTCACAACTGGCCACTGGTTTCATCCACATCCTACTGACAGCCGGGCGATGGTGGCACACGCCTTTAATCTCAGCACTCGGGAGGCAGAGGCAGGTGGATCTCTGTGAGTTCAAGACCAGCCTGGTCTGCAGAGCTAGTTCCAGGACAAGCTCCAAAGCCACAGAGAAACCCTGTCTCGAAAAACCAAAAAAAAAAAAAAAAAAAAAAAATCTAGAAAAACTGAGATTTCCGTCATTCCAGACTGAATTATAAATTCCTGGGCAAAAGTAAATCCAGGACACAGGACATCATCCTGAAAACACATCCTACTGACATTTGCAGGGACGTGTTACTAGCTTTAGGCCAGGGTGATGTAGGTGTGGGAGATTAGTTTGGCAGGATGTTTATCTAAGCTAGGTTTTACCCTCTCACCATCAATAATAGTTTTTAAATCACCGAATCTCGGATTCTCTTGCAGTGTTATTCCCAGCTGCTGAAGTTTCTCGTGGGAGATATAGGAACAAAGTCTATTTCTGCCTTTTAGATTCTAGTGATAAATGACAATATGATTCCAGAGCATCACAGCTCACCCTGGGAAACGATGAGTTTACTGGGCTTACTTAAAGTGCATGGCTGATGGGTTTTTATAGAAACATGGCGGACTTCAGTGCAGCTCCTCTGGCGAGTCTATGGATGATTTCTTTCACGTCTTTGCATAGATGAAGCCTCCTTTCCATACTAATTACGAGCCTACATGTAGCCCTCAGACCATTCCTGAGTTCATAACCCCACTTGGTTAGTTACATGCAAATGGCTGGAAGAGGGGCCAGATACTCTGGTTACTGTCCAGTGAGCCTTCCCACTCCCTCATTCACACTGTGACGAGAGGATGTCAGCAGCCCACAGGCTCAGTGGTGACAGACGCTAACAAGTAGGTGCAGATGATCTCAAAGATGGTAGCAGTGTGGCTGGGAAGCTAGCAACTTCTAACACTCCCCGTCCTCATCTTTGTATTTTTTTTCAAACACAGTATTTTCCTCGACCCCCACAGTTCTATGAGCATTATGAACATCAGCTCTGAACATAGATGTAGCCATTCCATCACTGTGGGCAACATCTGCTCTCAGCAATCCACTGCTGGGACGCCTTTAATAAACATTCGTATTCGTGACAAAAACATCTTCATGAGCAACCACAGCAACAAAAATTCCTCACATGTTGTGCGATTTCTCTCAATTTACTCCCTATAGTTTTAGCCCTTTAGAGTGTGTTGGAGGGAAGAGAAACAGGCATATAGAGAAAGCTTCATTTGGAAAAAAAAAAAAAAAAAAAAAACCTGAGAAACAAAGTTACAAACAAGCTTGATTAGTGGACAAGTAAGCAAAAACGATCCTGTACTTTCAAATACAGACAAACCTTCGGTTATTTTCTGTATGATTTTGCTTTGAGACAGTGTGTTACGAGGTCAGCCAGTCTAACCTTAACACACACTCTTCCTCCCTCAGACTCCTAAACGCTGCAATTACAGGTGTGCTATTGTGTTTTTCCCCGTACCTGCACAGTGAGTGTGCCAGACCCAGCTCTTATCCTTTTGGCTCTCCCTATTTGCTCCCCTGATGACCTCAGTGCTTGCATTTCAGATGCAAGGATCTGTGTTTGATCCCCAGAGCCATAAAATGAAGATAAAGATAAAACAAAACAAAATGAAAACTTACATACATAAATTAAAAAAAATATTTTCCAGAATGATTGGGCTTCCTAGATTGGCTTGTACCACAAGGAAAGTTCATATTTCTTAAATGCAAAATTTAAAATTTCTGCTTTAGTTCCCTAATGCAAAAGATATCACCAGTGCATCCCATCTCGTCTCAAAGAAATTTATTATTAAATTGACTGAATTATTTCAACTTTCTTCTGATTATTACTATGAAAATTTTGTAAATGTTAGAGCACATACCCAAGTCGAGTCCTTCCTTGTCAGCATTGTCATGCGATGCTAAGTGCACTTTCCAAACACCAAACAACTTCACATCCAGTGGCTTTTCCCGCCACACCCAGCTGCACTGATAAAGGATCGGGGAATTCTTTGCACTTGAACAATCTATGCACAGAGTGTTCTCATGAGAAGCAAAACACTTCTCTACCGTGTCAGCTTTTTATAAAGGGTCAAAAGTTCATGGAAGTAGCAACAGGAAAGCCATAGGAAAGAACTCCGTGGTTCACACGAACCACAGTCTTCATTTTTGCTTTCCATTTTATCATTAAAACAATGAGGGCCATGGAAGCCTGAGGCAGAAGTCAACTTCTACCATCCTGTCATTTTGATACAGTAAACTGCCATCAGTCGTCACAGGTAACTTTAGTCTTTGAGCGTATGTCTGGATTTACACAGTGAGCACTGTAGTGTGTATATTGATGGGTGTAACACATTTCCCTTAAAAATCATGTTTTCCTCCTTCTTTGATTTTCTTTTTTAAATTTAAAATAATGAACTACATGATATTTAACCAAACATGAGAATCTATTTCTATAGATAATTACTCATCACCCCCACCCCCCGACATTTCTGGAGCACATGATTTTTCTAATATAAACTTTGATGTCAAAGCTATTGTGGTCAGTTGGATTTATTCTTTTGATATTCTTTTGTTGAACCACTAGACTAAGTGAAAACTACTGCGAATTTCCTGGTATCTACTATTGTTTAGAAAGATGGTATAATACCATATATGTTTGAGCAATATGTAAATGAGGAGATTATAAATTGAATTCATCACCATAGACTTGCTTAGATATTAACAAGAGTGGTGTTATTTTAAGACATGTTTGTTTTCATGTTTATAATTGTTGTAGAAGAGATATTTCCACTCAATCATTTCTTAATTACTGTACCCCTTAGGTATTGTCTGTTCATATCCATTGTTTGAACAATACAGGGGCACTTTCTTAAACCCATATGTAACTAAGTAAGGGATTTGTGTATGTCATCTATTAACTATTTGTTTCCGTTGCTGTTGTTCTTGTGCTAGCACTGGACTTGCAAACAAATGTCTGCCCATCAAAGGGTGTCACAGGTGAACTATACCCCCAACACTCTCTTACTTTTAATTTTGAGACAAGATCTCACTAAATTGCCCAGACTGGCCTTGAACTCACATTGTAGCTCAAGCATGCCTAGAGCTTGTTGTCTGACTGCCTTGACATTCTAAGTAACTAGATCACAGAGTTGTGACTATGCTTCCTGCCACTCTCTTTTCATATTTACTATGCATCATTTTTTTCTAAGATAAATCTCTACATATATTTGCTGTGACCTTCTTACAGCAAAATTCTTAACATTGGGGCAAATTGCTTCAGTGTCATTGACCTTAATCTTTTAAAATAATAACCTTGTTTATATACAAGGTTATTATACATATATATATATATATATATATATATATATATATATGTAGTCGACAATTTGCATCATTTTTTAAAATCAGTATATTTGGGCAAACATTGTTTCCATGCTGAAGAGATGAGTGTATAAAAATTTCTGTTAGCAACTGAACCATATATGTGCCTGATGGTCGTGATAATTATCCTTTGAAATAGAAAGAGCATCAACATTTGAATCTAATAGCAGAAAGTGACTAAAAACGTGTGATGAAGATACATTTTATAAAATTCTCAAAAAATAAAAACAGAAAGATAAAGAAGAGCATTAACAAGCATGACAAGTGGAAAAGAGAATATGCCATATTTTAGGTAAGTGATATTTAAGAAATCAAGCACATATTTTAACAATTTTGAATTATAAAAATGTATTTTTATAATATATATATATATATATGTAAAGGAATACTACAAAGGCAAAAATCATTTTAAGCTTGCCTGGTATGCAGAATAATATACCAATATATGACTCAGCATTGCTTTGCAATTCTATATTACCATATTAGACTTACTTATTTTACCTTAAAAGCAGCTCTGTGAACTATAGAATCAGATTTTCTCTATTTTGCACCTTAGGACAGTAACACCTAAATGGTGTAGGTACTTACTCAGTGTTATATAGTTGGAAGTGAAGTGGTGGACTTGAAACAAGCAGATAGTGTACTTATACAATGTGAGCTCTCAGCTACTACCCTAAACATTCATCATTTCAGCTCGGTGACTATTCTGCCCCAGTTCCACATGGCCAGTGATAACACCAGCCCACTTTTCTGCTGTGTAAGTCTTACCCATCAATCAATATCACTCTAACTTGTAACATCTCCATGAATTTATTTCTTGTAGTTCTTTCTCCTTTTAAAGTAAGAGCCCCTCCTCTTCATACAGTAGTTACCTATATCAATTTTATTCTATGTAGGATGCTCATGTCATAGTAATTGTATTTTATTCTTTGTATCCCTTCCCCATATGCAATTCAAAAACTATCTACGGAAGAGACTCAGACAATATCACTCTATGAACAAGTCAAGATTAACACAACCATCTGGTTAAAACCACACATGTCACGTGAAGAGAAAGGAACAAACCAATTTATTAAACATACTTTGAATAAAGCCAACATTTTAGCAAAACACAGAGTTACTTGCTAAGCTGACTATAAAGTAGTTTGTTTCAGGCATATTTATTGTGTTTTCATTAATGAAAACCTTGGCAAGAATTTTTACTATTACCTTACCTGCTAAACAACAAAACCAAACTATTAGTGATAGAAGAAGAGTTCTGCTAGAAATTACTAATCAGCACTCTCTTTTTTTTACCATCTCTCTTTCTCTCTCCCCTCACATACTCACATGTACACAGACTAGACTCACACCATCAATAGAAGTAAGTTCAGAAAAAATAAATTAAAATATACCTCTTTTGTCATTGCTGGAAAAGAAGACCGCAGTGATTTATCTGCTTCCCTCTCTTTACAATTGAAACCTAAAATTTTTATCACATAGTATTTCAGCATCTGGCTCACAAGGAAAGGAAATGACACAGTTGTGTGTTGAAAATCTTTCCTTGAAACGTGTTTCAATAGCCGTCTCATCCATGCACAAGTTTGCAAAATCTAAATTTGTCAGATAACTCATTCCCCTTTCCTCACAGGATATTGTAAAAAGAAAAGGGGAAGTTAGAATGCACACTATAAGCTCCCTTGAATATTACAGATATTCTAAGTTCAAATAAATACCGCAGCATTTATAACCAAGTGAAAGAATGAACTGAAGGGAAACCTTTAGAAATTACATACTTCATGTAATTATTAAGATGGAAGGCCATGTAATTTATAAATAAAAGGATGAAATATTAGGAATACTTTAGAGATATAATCTGCCTTCAGGAAAACTTATCTATGATGTTTGTGAATCCCTAAAACTGTAGAGGTAAAATAACAACCAGATATACATAAATTCAATTGTTTTTTATATTGTTCTTTTTTTTAATATAATTTTTTT